TTAGCTGTTGTCGTGTGTGACGTCATTTGCGTCGACGCTGATTGGTTGAAATCAAAAGACGCTCTTGCGTACATGTTCGCGCTGAAGCACGCACAGCAGAGAGCAGCGGACTATCTACTGCTGAGGCTCGCTTAGTTTGAGTGGCGTCGCCACAACAGTAATACCCTCGCCTCGCATTCTCATGGCCTCGCCATATCTCGGAGATTTTGAAATTTCGGCCCGAACGGAAGCCACAAAGGGTACACGTATGCACACAAAAGGAAGATTAATCATTGAATGTCGAGTATTTGAATAGCGTTTTGTGTAAACTAATTCATGCGTGATCGGCCATATATATATATAATTATTTATTTATTTGTTTTTTCCCGGAATTTTCAGAAAAGTCCACTTTCATCTCTGTTCCTTGGAATGCCCCACACCGTGAACATTTTTTTTCTGGAAATGGGTAGAAGTAGTTTGTAGTTTTTGTGTAAAACTCCGTCCATCAAGCACTGAATTAATTTGTCATCATAGGACCATTGAATAACAAGGACGTTGTATCATCAAATAATTTGAATATTGCTTCACATCAAAAGGTCATTTTCATGAGAGAAAAAAAAATTTGGCCTGCCATCAAGCACCTTCCTGCTGCCTTGGACTGAAACGAGAATCTAAAGATAAATGTGAACTTAGGAAATGACATGTGCACTTAGATGCTCATTGCACAATCTTCCTCCTTGCTGATAATTATGTGTGTAATCTAACAATTACATATTTCAATTAAAAATTCATAAACTATTGTCCCTTTAGATATCGACCAGTCTATGAGATAATTGCAGCGCCCATTTTGCTGTATTTATTGCAGCAATTACAACCTCCACTGTCTGAATTATGATTGCCATCAGAGCAGCACTAACCTTGATTCTAATGGACAACCAAGAGGCTTAATAGTTCTTCCACATGATTTAATCTTAACCTATGAGTAAAAAATGAGCCGAGGTTAATCAACCAAACATAAATTGAAGCTGTGATTTGACCCGTCTAAATGGTGCACATCCCCTTCGCTGCAAAATAGTGCCGATCTTTAACGGGAGATAATCATAAATTAAAAGACTGTGGAGAGCACATTTTATGATGCCACCTACATGTGAGTTTTATGATGTCAGCTTCCAGTGTGCTATAGGACTCCCGCGAAGACATCCCCAAACATCTTCTTTATGAGTGGTTGCAATATTTGAGTAGTTCTAATGTTGTAATGAGTGCGGTGTTAAAGATCTCCATCTGGTGACATCGCTAAATGAGTGTGTCATTGCAAATTTGTTGCTCAACAGAGACGGCCTCCGATGAGTAAGACCATCCTGCTCATCGTGTCCCTCTGACACTCAGGAGCCCTCACGTCCATGCAGCCAATCTGTTGATACCACTTGCCACGTTTCTCTCTCATTCCTCTTTTCACTTTTTGATGCCTCTGCCTTTCATTGTCTTCGTCTCCTGCCTCACCCCCGCTGATCGTAATCTGGAGCTGTCAAGCCACTAGTAATTGAAACTGACTTGATGAATCGCTTAATTACCTTTAATAGCTGATTCAAGTGGAGCTGAATAATGAAGATAACCGAGAATGAAGTCGAGGTTGTGGAGCTTTTGTCTGTCTAATTGTTGTGTTGTTGTTTTGAGGCAGCGTGTTGTTGTTATTCCATCGTGAATGCCCACAAGCTCGCTCGGAAGACTTTAAAACCTTTTTTCTTTTACTCAGTTTACTAAGAAGACTGGAATGATCGAGTCAATTAACAAGCAGCATTCAAAACAAAACAGAAGTTTTAGAAGTGGAAAGAAAAAAACAAAACTGCAAAATGGACACTTTTATTTGCCCTCTCAGCTTGTTTTTGGAGTTGGCTGCGGTATGGGTTGTGCAGTGCCTGACTTGGCTCTGAGGCACACTTGTGTCGAGATTGCCATCCTTTAATATCCAACCACGATGCCCAGCGGTACCAGCAGACCTGGCTCAGCACACTCTGACCTATAAAGCATATGAACATTTTGCATTCCAGTCCCATATATTATTGAATAATTGGACGGCTTACCCACGAGTCAGCAGTATCTCATTTCTGTGATGGGACTGAAGTAGCAGGTTGCCATCGAGTTGATGCTATCAATCTGCAGAATCTAAATTGTACAACCATCCTCTTCCATTTAACTTCATGTAAATGTGTTGTGTATTCTCATTTTGAGTGCTGTTCATTCGATCCTGCTATACTAACTTTATACAGAACCTTGAAAGTGGTCACACTCCTGTGGCTGCTCGGCATATACTGTATATGCACTAATCACAAAATATTTGTAATATTGGACTTTCGGGTTAAATTTCACAATTAACATGAACTGCAATATAACCTTTACTTGTGAACTTTATTTGACCATCTCTCAACTTTTAAATGCACATGCTCAACTGTTCAGTGTTTTCGTATTGAAAGATTGTTTTCCAAGGATGTTGACTTCTACACCTATCTGTGCCTCTGCCAGTGTCTCTGTAGCCAATTGCGACCCTGTGATGACAAATTTCGACACTCTCAGCTCAGCGGCTGCTTCCCTCTGAGAGCAGCCTTGTCATGGGGATGCACTATTCATAAAATGTTGGCTGTCCTCATGATTTCGTAGCGTAGAATTGTATTAGCTGATTTATGGATCAAACACCTGTTGTGGACTTTGTCATTCAGCCCTTGGTAGAGAACAGCAAGATGTGCAAAAAGCACTAAAACACAGTCTGTCTGTCCATCCACCCGCACATTCGTCCGCATGAAAATCAGGGCGGTACAGAGCGTACGCCTGAGTATGCCGTGCTTGAACATTGGCAAAACAGAAATTAGACTCGCTGGAGTTTCTGCATGACATTGGCACATGAACTGTAATATCTCCCCTTTTGGAATATGTGTGTGTGACGTACAGTTGGAGACCACCTTGCACCTTCCAGTCGTGCAGCAAATCAACCTTTTTCCCCTTTCCCCTACACTCCAGATTCCTGAGGGTTTCCTGTTTGTTTTATTCCCAATCAAAAAGCAACAAACATGAAGAAAATAACAGGAAGAGTTCACACCTCAAAAAAATCTGCACTGATAAACAAACAGGGCATAACAGGAGTAACGTCTGTACTGAATTACCTTGAGACATTTTGTCATGTAGTGAGAACACCCATTCATTTTGCCCTTGAAAATTGGGCTCTGATGTCCACTCACCCAATTATGTAGCAGAATATTTTTGTCTGCTAAAGCACCATGATTTAGATTTTATATGTTGGCTGTGATGTTCCATTGACTGAGTGGTTATGCTAATGAATTTTTAAAATGCATGAGGAATACGTTGATGCTCTCCTTCTCTTAATTCGACTTTAAATATCAATCCACAGTAAAACCTGCATTATCGAATACACTAAAATGGTTTTAAGCATATCGGTGCAAATGCATGTAACTATTTTAAGACTGTTCAAAGATGGGACCAAATACACAAACACCTAGACTTGCCTGGAGCACTGAGGTGTAGAGATTACTCATTTTGGGGCCTAAGCCTTTCAAAGTCAATGCATTATTAGTTTGACGAGAAGAAATAGAAGACTTTACAATGGAATTTGTCCAGCCTATTGGCTCAGACAGGATAAATTGAAGGCAAAAAGGAGCTAACCAAATACACCTAAAATGCATTTGTCTGGGATTGACAAGATCTTTAGCTTTTTATTGGGATCTATGTCAATATTAGCAACCTTTCCTTTCCTTTGGTGGAGACATGATGGTGTTCTTACAGGATGTTCTCCTCCGTTTACTCCAATATTAATCATATTCAGGGTCACAGGCTGAAGCCTATTCCAGCAGGTGTGGTTCACTTCTGTTTTTGAAAAATACATACGTGGAACTTCTTTTCTGTTCTGTAAATATAACTAAAGACCCAAAAACCCAAAATGTTCCGCTGGTCCTTGACATTGAAGTGAAGATAGATGCATTGTTTGTCAAGATATCCAGAAGGTTCCGGACAGAATCGGACTCTATAAACGCAGACTCTGATAGATGTCAAAAAATATATGCACAAGGCCGTCAAAGTACATGTAATGACGCTTATACAATAACCAGGATAACAACGAGAACCAAAAGCGCTTGCAAAAGGCAAGGAGAAGGTAAACATGCTTGTTGGTTCAAATATGTTGTTGGTGTTCTTTAAGATCTTTGGAAAAAATTTGAATGTCATCAAGATATACAAAACAACATACATTCAGTGGATCCTGGATTTCATCATTAATGACATTTTGAAAAACTGCAGGGGCATTAGCTAGTCCACATGGCATTACAAGGTACTGTACTCAAATTTTCCTAATGGAGCCTTGAAGGCCATCTTCCACTCATCCCCCTCACAGATTCTTACCTGGTGATTAGCACTACAAAGATGCAACTTTGAAAAAATGGTCACAGATTGTGAGGTCGCAAAAGCAGAGTCTAAAAGAGGGAGAGGGTTCTTGTTTTCGATGGTGATTTTGTTTAGGCCTCTGTAATCAACACACGGGCGCAATGACTTTCTTTTTGATATAAAAGAATTTTTTCCCCCAAGGGAGATTTAGATGGCCTGATTAAACCAGAAGCGAGGGAATCGGTAATATATTCTTGCAGTGCTTCCTGTTCCAGCCGAGATTCCTTGTGTAGTCTAGACGAAGGTAGAGATGCTCTGTGAATAAGGTCTTTAGCACAACCGTACGGAGGGTGCAGAGGCAAAGATTGAGCATGGTTTTTGCTAAAAACATGGCTCAGATAATGGTATTCCTCTGGCACTTTCTTTCAACAAATTACTGAGCTGATTCTACATTCACCCTCTCTGGTAGCAGACTGTAAACAATGACTGAAGCAAAATGGACTCCAGTTTTCATTGGTTGAACGGTTCCATGCACTTGTGACTCTGGAGCCAAGTCTAGCCTAAGACTACTGGTGTCGACCTAGCGGGCATAATGAACATTTTTTGACTGGGCTGGTCCACGGACCACCTGATGGGACTGCTCCACTCTGCTTTCCCGGGGCCTCTCCCTGATGCAGTTGTCCAGTCGGATGCTAATGTGTTCCGCAATGTCGTAGTGTTGTCATGGATAGCCAGTTCATCTTTTAAGTAGGAACTCAGTTTGCGGCGAAAAAAAAACACTTTCCACCACCAATATACGAAAACCGAGTAGTCAGCGACCGACTGACTACCCTGAGCACAGTCCAGTAATTGTCCCCCAGCCTCATTCCCCAGGCAGGATGGTGGAACACCCAACGGAATTCTGCCAGAAAATTAGGAAAGGAGGACCGAAGTTCTGGTTGCACATTGCGTATGACATTGTTTTATTCTCACATGCTGAGTTTAAATATTAAATAGGACAGCTCCAAAATGAATTACTTTTGGAGTGGCGTGTACTTTTTCAACACAATCAAAATTAGCTTGATCCATCTAAAGACAGTTCATTCCAAGTGACATGTCATGCTTGTTGACAATCTGATGACCGATGTTTCCGGAGCTAAGGAGTGGTGGGTTTTCGAGCAGCTGCAGAGAAGAAACAGCTCAATGTGTGCTGTAGGTGTAGTTGGGTGCAGTCTTCTATGCGAGCCGACCGCCCACTCAGCATGCATCCGTCTAACTGTACCTGTCGTTTTCAAAAATCTCCCTTATCCCCTTTTCTCTGTCAGTCAGGCTGTATAAAATGTATCTTTCTGAGACTACGGATTTGGTGTCTTAAGACCAGAACACAACTGCACCCCTTCCTCTCTATCGCAGACCTCTTCAGGCTTTGGCATCCTCAGCTCACTACCTCCCCCCACAGATCACTTCATACAATAATATATATGTGCTCTTTCACACAGTAAAAAATTTAATTCCTGTTCATCCCTTCACAAGTGAAGGCGTCCTCATAAGTCAAAAATATTATTTGAAATTATTTGATAAAATATTTGACACAGTCTCTCTCTGACTGACAATAACAACCAACAATGCCACAATTCCAACATCCTGCCTTTTGAATGGAAATGAATAAAGCAATGCCTCTGCTAAATACTTCATATCACGGGTTCCCAAACTGTTTTTTTCCATCCACCCCATTTTGGAAATGTATGGCATGACACAATCGTAACACTGTCCGTGTTGATCCCCATACAGCCCCCCCCCCTCCACTCCCCAATATGTTGCTTACCAGCACCATTGTTTAAAATCCTCTTAACACAGTGTAGGCTACAATGCAGTGGACTTTTGTAGCTGCTGAAAGAAAGACAGTGATTTACTCAGAAAACGCAGCACCATCTCTCAAAGTCATCACTGCAGCATTTCCCCAATGTACGGCCATCTATCTAATAGAAAGTGACAACACATTGCCATGCTTGTCTCTGCATTAGGGAGAATGTATAGGGCTCAGAATGGATTGGGTGGCATGTAGAAATGTTGATGTATTTTTTTTTCTTGACTCTGTTTTTACTCAAATTGTGCAGAAATGTGGAAGAACCATTTTGTATTACAGCCAAGTATGTTTCATACACGCCGGTTTACCAATTTTGAAGATAAATTTAAAACCCAGACATTGTAAAGGCATCATATTGATTGTGGCAGCATACTGTGGAGGCAATGTCTGGTAGAAGTATGGTTTTATTTACTGTAATCCCCTTAGCATGCAGGGGGCCGCACCCCCTGCATCTGCCCTGACCATCTCCACAACCACACTCTCCATTGCTGCGTACAAGATTCGTTTTCAGCCGGCTGCATGGAGCATTTTTGCTGGTAATGTATCAGGAGACATTATATTCTCCGTTTGTTCACTCAGTGTTGAGGACACCCTAACCTTGGGAGTGACTTTGACAGCTGTCAGTGTTCCTCAAAGCTGCCTGCACAGTGAATCTTAACATGCTTCACAAGCAAAAGGGAGGGTATTATTGAAGGTGTGAGAACTAAGAAATATTTTCTAAAACACACAAACACACACACACACACATACACACACACACACACACACACACACACACACACATACACACACGTATACTGTACGATAAATAAAATATTTTATTTTTGCAATTGAATTGTCTCACTTCTATCAGTCTCCCTTCCCTCTTAATTTTTTTATAGTTCTTTGTATTATCATAGCACACTATCGAGGTTAGATCAGGCTCTATCACAATTACAAGCAGGCAAAGAACATATTTTGTCTGATCTGTAGAACTCTTGTGCATGCAGAAAGGTTTTTATTTAAACT